GAATGTCAGGTTGACATATTTAAAGTGTTTATCTTCTAATGTTACATGCAAAAAGCTTTAATGAGGTGGGTAAATGTGAAAGTGCAGGTAGGCATCTTAAATACCAGTGAGAGATATTTCCCTTGTCCCACAGAGGTAATTACTGACCTTGCTGATTCCATGCAAAACTTTGACACGCAGGGATTTTAGGTTCAAATACTACCATTAAATTTTAGCACCATAAACAGGTTTGAATGGAATCCTTTGAACCTTTCCTCTCAAGGGATTGGAGGACTATTCCCTGGTACAAGAAATGGTTCAGAGTAGTATGCATATCTTACTGTCAAGCAAATCTTCACTGGTTTGAGAGAAGAAAACAGTGAGGTAGAGTTTGAAAATATTTTGTACCCAATTGAATCCACCCATTGAACCCATGGATTTGGGACCCAGAAGGGTGCAAACTGAAGAGATGTCCCCCCACCCTTAGGAGTGAAGGCATATTAATGGGAAGTTTGCTACAGGTTGTCAGCACATGTGGACAGAAATCAGAGTAATTCTTGAAATGTGTCAAATTACTTATTCTAGTGGATTAACAGAGAAAAGTAGGGCTGAAGGCATTATTTGTAGGGCCTTTTTCACCTGGACTTCAGCTTGTATACGTAAGAGCAGTGTGAACAGCAAACTTTTTTGCAAGCTTCATGCAGCTTTAAGCCCATAAAGAACCCTTTGGCTCCTGTTTGGAAATGTTATACACAGATCTCATTGGGAGTACAGATTTAAACAAGCTGCTAGAAGGCTTTGGGGTATTGTTGTATTACCCTCAAGTATTGCTGAAGCCTGGCAGCAGCTTGTTTAAAGTAGCAGTCAACACTCCTATTGAGATGTGTTCAATATTTACAAACTGGAGTTAAAGGGCACTTTAAAATGTTCAACAATGCTTGCTGAAAGCTCTGCAAATGCTTTGTAAAGCTTGCTGTATACACGAATTCTGTAAAATCTGTCGGATAAATGTTTTTCACTCATTGGCGCCACCACTGATCAGTGCATCCTGATGGTGGTCAAAACACAACAGTGTGTGAACAGTGGAATTGGGTTCATTTTTCTTCATTCAACCCACTAGTTGAACTAAAAAAAAAACAATCATCTATGCGCCACTAAAGTGTTCCTGAAATAAAGGATCCTGTTGATTGATCTTTTCCCTAATCCTATTAGCTATAGTTTGATAGATGGAGATTGCAATAGCCAGTTGCACAGCTAGGCCTGCAAAAGCAAAGAAGAAAGTTCCCCAAATTTGTCTGCAGAAGCCTGAAACAAAGGAACATTTTCATTAGGCACAGTTAGATATTTAAGGCCTCATGCACACTGCAGCTCAAAGAAGATGCTCCTTCAGGTGTTTGAGCTGTTTTGAGCTTTTACTTTTCTCTGTTAACTTCCCTTTGTTTTTTTTTTCCTGCGTGTGAGCTCATATGCCTGAGAAATCTTCTGCAGCCTCCTCTAGCACAGACAGCACATTAAGTTAATCCAACCATTTGCAGCTATAACAGCTTCAACTCTTCTGGGAAGGCTGTCCACAAGGTTTAGGAGTGTATCTATGGGAATGTTTGACCATTCTTCCAGAAGGGCATTTGTGAGATCAGGCATTGATGTCAGATGAGAAAGCCTGGCTCACAGTCTCCACTCTAATTCATCCCAAAGGTGTTCTATCAGGTTGAGGTCAGGACTCTATAAAGGCCAATCAAGTTCCTCCATCCCAAGCTCACTCATCTATGTCTTTATGGACCTTGCTTTGTGCACTGCTCACGTGGGAACAGGAAGGGGCCATCCCCAAACTGTTCCCACAAAGTTGGGAACATGAAATTGTCCAAAATGTCTTAGTATGCTGATGCCTTATGAGTTCCCTTAACTGGAACTAAGGAGTCAAACCCAACCCTTGAAAAACAACCCCACATCAGAATCCCCCCTCCACCAAACTTTACACTTGGCACAATGCAGTCAGGGAAGTACTGTTCTCCTGGCAACCAACTCCAGACATGTCCATCGGATTGCCAGACAGAGAAGGGCGATTCGTCACTTCAGAGAACACATCTCCACTGCTCCAGAGTCCAGGGGCAGCATGCTTTACACCTCTGCATCCAACGTTTAGCATTGCACTTGGTGATGTAAGGTTATGTAAGGCTTGGATGCAGCTGCTCAGCCATAGAAACCCATTCCATGAAGCTCTCTATGCACTGTTGTGCTAATCTGAAGGCCACACGAAGTTTGCAGAGTCAGTAACTAAAGACCTCCAAACAGTTGGTGACTTCTGCACTTCAGCATGTGCTGACCCTGCTCTCATTTTATGTGGCTTACTGCTTCGTGGCTTAATTGCTGTTGTTGTAACTTTGTTATAGTACCATTAACAGTTGACCGTGGAATATTTAGTAGCAAGGAAATTTCACGGATGAACTTATTGCACAGGAGGCAACCTATCACGGTACCATGCTTGATTTCACTGAGCTCCTGAGAGCGACCCATTCTTTCACAAATGTTTGTAGAAGCAGTCTGCATGCCTAGTTGCTTGATTTTATACACCTGTGGCCATGGAGATGATTGAAACACCTGAATCCAATGATTTGGATGGCTGCCCCCAATACCTTTGGCAATATAGTGTATTCCAATCTGAAATCGAGAAGGTAGGGATGGCTGAGCCTGGTGCTTTTGTGCTCTGGACAGTGATGTCGGTTTTAAGACCATTAACTGTCCAAGAAATTCTGACATAGCTGCAGAGAAAGTTGGCTTAGGCAGGTAGAACTAGAATCAAATGCAGAGACCAGTGTAAAAATATGGTTCTACACCGATGCTATGGAATCGCTTTTAGCATCCTGAGTGTGTTGTAAATCTTTGGCAGAGAGTGTTTGCCTGTACTTTTGTTTGCCATCAGTAAGGATATGCTCCTGTGGGGTACCCACAAAGTAGGGTGCGGAAATGAGGCAATAGTATCTACAGAAGGATAAACAGCAACTTGGGTATTGACCGTCCAAACTCAAACACATTCCCAGTTTCCTGGCAAATACTAGCCAGTAGCTGGTTAAATAACTGTACTGTAAGTGACAGATTAATTCTCATGCTTGCCATAAGGCTACAGTTTTGGTCCAATAACAGATACCGCTGGGAGGGGCCTTTAGGGTCTGGGAAACATAGCCCCGGACCTAAATAGCACATTGTAGCTATTGGCACATGTTGAATTTAGTGCCAAGGTGAGCATTCAAGCAGGATCCAGTATCTGAAGTAGCATTACAGACAGTCTCCATGGTATTACTGAGGTTACACCAATCCATATGCACGCCACACTTTTCAGATAATTTATTTGTAAAAAAATTTGAAAACCATTTATCATCTTTTTTCCACGTCACAATTATGTGCCATTTGTGTTGGTCCATCGCATAAAATCCCAATAACATACATTTACATTTTTGGTTGTAACATGACAAAATGTGGAAAATTTCAAGGGGTATAAATACTTTTTCAAGGCACTGTAGTGTTGCGCCCATGGGGGTATGTCCAAAATCTTTGTCAATGTCCAATTGCATGATGGTAGCAAACTATAACCCATGGTCAATGAATATACAGCCTTTGTCTTGTACAATAAGGATATATAAAGTTTTCTACAAAAAATTCCAGACAATTGTTTTTCATTAGGCTATGGAATGGATATAAACGGTCAGGTTTTTATTGTCATATGGGTCCCTATTGGGAGTTTTTCTTCACATTTGCTGGTTTTCTATAGAAGACTGCTGGGCCAACAAAGCTTTGCTGAATATTTCGGTCCCAGGAAGCAGAGAAGAATTTATAAGTATACACTGTTTTGGTTACTGGCTCCACTGAAACCCTAAAGTCTTGAATAAATCAGAAAACGTTAGAAACTCTATCAAGTTTTGTTCTTTATTCCCTGTGTGGGAGACTGAATTTATTCCACTGCATGTGCAAACATTGTTAAAGTATAACTAAACAACTTTTTTATTAGATTTAAATAGAATAGAGAGGGTTAGGAACACCTGTCAGGTTTTTATTGCTGTGTCTCCAGTAGGGAGATTCAGCTCTATTTGTCAAGTTTACCATAGCTATCAAAAGTGAAAGTAAAATTCAAAATTTGGTTAATCAAAAGAATAGAAGGGAAATGTTCCAATGGGAACACTAGTTCTGTTGACCCTGGTGACAAGCAATTCCCTCACATTGGAGGGCTTTCCTTTCACCTCCTGTTTTGGCTATAGGACAGGAAGTGAAGGGAAATCTTCCCAATGGAAAAAGCTGTCTTTGGTTCCATGAACATGTTTTTGCTTTTGTTGTAGTTGAATATAAATGAATTAAAAAGACAATATTGTACATTTCACTTTGTATCTTTAATAAAATGCTTGATTTGTAAACGTGTATATTCCACAGTCTGTGCAAGGACTGTTCCTATTCCCTTATTATTGATGGAACAGAACCTGCTAACAACACATTGAAAATATTCAGTACACATTGGCATATTAGTTTGTGGATCAGTACAGAAGTGATAGGCCAGGAAAAGTACTTTAGAGAACAAGGAAAACCATTGCATATTTCTGAAGATATTTATGTATAAAAAGTAAACCCTGGACTTTCTGAAGAGGAATAGCCAATATTCACTGGGAGGGAGCTGTAATGGTCCCTGGGTGTTGGAAGGGGTTAACAAAATCCGTTAAGAAAGTGCTCATAACCTTTGGTCCAATTAACAGTTTACTGGTCATCCAGCCACTACCTAGAATGGTTTAGCAGACAGTCAGAGCCCCACCCTTTGTATTGGCATGGGAGGGGTGGGATAGCAGATTAGCATAAGCAGCTCTCAGTGGGCTTCTGGCACTAATTAGATGTGTTACAGTAGGACATTAATCAGCGTAAGGCTGCAAGGATCAGATCTCTACCCTACAGCTAGAGTAATCCTCAAGAGAAGCAGCAGAGAGAACACAGAGGGCTGAGAAGGACATGGTGTCCAGCCCATGTCACTGCAAACAAATGACAGACTATCCTGCAATCTCAGTGACTGTGGTAACCAACTTTTCTCCATTCCAGACAGTCTTAAATTGCTCTGGCACTGGAAACTCACTCTGCAAGAGAGAGAAAAAAAAAAAAAAAAAAGTGTAGTTAATTCTTGTAACTTCAATTAGTACATGAAGACAAACTAGTATGGAAAAACATCAGAAATCCTTGCATAAAAAATAAATGCATTACCAACCAGGTCCATCTACAGTTTGCAGCAGCAAAATCATGCAGGTTCAAGACAAACCTTAACCATATATTGTGTCATTGTAACTTACAGAATTTATTGGATGTGGAGAGGTTACTGGCAAGTTAGCCATTAACAGACTGAAGGAGAGAGGGTATACAATTTGATCATTCACTGGTGCTTGTTGTATTGGAAAGGTTGATAAAACATGTTAACATGCAGACAAAAAAAGAAAGCAAAATTAGATAAAATAAGCTGGAGAGTGTTTATGGTTTGGGCAGCCTACAAATAATACGAAAAAGGGATATATAGCCATAGTTTTACTTTAATATTTGATCAGTGAAATTATCTACAGCTCATTTAAAGGAAGTTTGTCAATTTGAGAATCAGTGTTATTCATAAAGCCTATCTTAAAAGTTATACCTGCATTGCTCTTTAACTAAAAGGAAACTGCAGTGCTGGCTAAGAGCAAGGTGTTTGCTGTTCTCTCTTATTCAGAAAGGGTTTGTGTTCCCCATACAAGCCTTGCTTTTCCTCAGTTTAGGGGTGAAGTCATGGACTACTGGGAAAGCCTTTCCAGCCATAAAGGGCACTATATAATATTGGAAGCTTTGGTGCATGAAGAGAACTATGATTTAATCGGTATTGCTTAATCTGGGCTTCATTCTTCACATGATTGGGCCATTAATATTCCTGGCTATGTTCTCTTTCAGAGAGAAAGGGTAACTAGGAAAGGTGGTGGTGTCTGTCTCTATGTGAGAAGTGATCTCAGAGCGAGTGTGAAAGAGGACCTAGTTGATGGAGAGTGTGATGAGGCTAAAGCGTTATGGGTGGAACTGCACATGGGGGTGCGTACTACAAAGGTAAATCATTGGAGTTTGTTATAGGCCTCCCAGTGTTAAATGAGGAAGTGGAGACTCCGCTCTTTGCACAGATCGCAAGGACTGGGACAGTGATAATTCTGGTGGATTTTAACTACCCAGAAATTGACTGGAGTAATGGCATTGCAGGAACACTTAAAGGTTAAGAATTTTTAAACCTACTACAGTACAATTTTATGGTACAATTCATAGAGGCCCCAACTAGGAATGATGCACTGCTGGACCTGGTAATCTCAAACCATGCAGAGCTTATTACGAATGTCCATATAAAAACATCTGGGTAGCAGTGACAATAACATGATTTCATTTATTGTTAGCTGTAAACAGCAAGCACATAAAGGAAAAAAAAAAAAAAAAAAACGCTCAATTTTAAGAGAGCTAATTTTCCAAGGCTGAGAGCTGCTCTCCAAGACTTAGACTGGGAGGGAATATTGGCATTAATGAACACAACACAGAAATGGGAGTTCTTCAAAAAGGCTGTGAACACACTGAAATATATTCCCATGGGCAACAAGTTTAAAAGGCTAAAAATCAAACCTATGTGGCTTAGGGCCAAAAAGTAAAAAAAAAAAAAAAAAAAAAGCTATAAACAAGAAAAGAGCTTTTACTAAATATAAAAATGAAGGAACACTATCATCATTTAAACATTACAAAGAATATAACAGAATATGCAAAAAGTAAATAAAGGCCCCAAAAATTGAAAACGGACAGATTGCAAAAGATAGCAGAACCAACCCCCAATAATTCTTCAAATATATTAATAGTAAAAAGGTTCGGTCCGAGCATGTAGGCCCTTTACAAAATCTAGAGTGGGTGACTGGGGACAAAGAGAAGGTAAATTTATTTAATACCTTCTTCAGCTCTGTGTATACAAAGGAGCATGGGGGAGCTCTTATCCATAATGGGCATGGTATTGACATACCTGGACCGGATGGCAGACACCCACGGGTCCTTAAAGAATTGATCTCTGTCATTTCAAAGCCATTGTTTCTAATTGTTAGGGACTCTTTAATGACTGGCATAGTACCACTGGATTGGGTCAGGCCAATGTGGTGCCAATATTTAAAAAGGAGTCAAAATCTTTACCAAGTAATTATAGACCTGTTAGTTTAACTTCTATAGTTGGGAAGATACTGGAGAGTTTAATAAAAGAGCACATAGAGTTCTTGCTGGAAACAAATATTTTAAGCAACAGACAGCATGGATTCATAAAAGACAGAAATTGTCAAACAAATCTGATTTCTTTTTATGAGGAGGTGAGCAAAACCTTGGACAGAGGGGTGTCGGTGGACGTGGTATACTTGGATTTTGCAAAAGTGTTTCACACAGTTCCCCATACATGGCTAATGTATAAGGTAAAGTCTACGGGCTTGAAAAAAAATGCGTATGTAAATGGATAGAAAACTCGCTAAAAGATCGTATTCAGAGAGTAGTGGTTAATGATTCATACTCTGAATGGTGTAAGGTTGTTAGTGGTGCACTGTTTAATTGGGCAACTATATGGCAAATGAGGTTTAATGTTGATAAATGTAAGGGTATGCACTTGGGGGCTAAGAATATGCATGCATCATACATACTAGGGGGGGAGGGGGTACGACTGGGGGAATCAATGGTGGAGAAGGATCTGGGAGTTCTGGTGGATTCACAAGCCTAATAATGGCATGCAATGCCAAGCTGTGGGTTCTAAAGCGAGCAAAATGCTCTCTTGTATTAAAAGCGGTATAGACTCCAGAGAGAGATATCATATTACCCCAGTACAAATCATTAGTAACGCCTCATCTGGAATATGCAGTTCAGTTTTGGGCACCAATTCACATGTTTTAATACCAGACATTTATGGATTTTTACTGTCCGAATATCAAACGACCATCTGGCCTGCTGGAGGTCATCTTGGAACAGGCGAATCAGTTTACACAGCAGGGTGTTTCTAACAAGGGGTCGCAAATGGGAATTTATCCCCTGAAGGATGTTCTCGCATACGCCTCCCAATGCGATGTATGGGAGTCGAGGAACATTATCTCAGACAATTTGGTGATGTGAAAATGACCGATTTCCTGGGAGGATACAGGGTAGCGCCTTACTTTCTGGTGATTAGAAATGGCAGTCCCTTATAATTTATGGATTGTAGCTCATTGGAGAGAGGACTATATAGGCCAGGCAGAGGGTGTTCAATAGGTGTTGCTTGCGAGTGGTAAAAGATGCAAGGGCCAGCCATGGTCTCATTCTCTCTCTTCCTTGAGCCAAGCCACAGATCATTGAGGATGGACTTAAGTAACATATCATCTCTGCGCTTTTATTGCTATGTGCCATGTAATAGTCTTTTAGATTTCTATTTTAGGAATTTACTTTCTTTGTAAATAAATAAGTCCTTTGCTGCTTTTGAGCATCATGTTTATTTTTATAGCCAATATTATTATATTATCATCATTAATAATATCACAGCTTTGATACACTAGCTAATCATAGGAACAGACAAGATAGTATACTTATTATTTAAGTAGGGCAAAGTATTTATTTCACCTATGGAGATGTTTTTTTTTTTTTTTTTGTACTATAAACCAAAAAGAACGGCAATTTTGAGAAAAAAAAAAAAAAACCCACCAAAAAAAAACACTATTTTTGACTTTTTGCTATAAAACCTCCAATAAAAAAAATGAAAAAAAAAAATCTAATTTAGTCATAAATTTAAATAAAAATGTATTCTGCTACATGTCTTTGCTAAAAAAAAAAAAAAAAAAAACCCAATAGATGTAAATTGAATTGGTTTATGTGAAAGTTATAGCATCTACAAATGGCACTATATATACTGGAATTTAAATTTTTTTTATACTAGTAATGGCGGTGGTGATCAGCGACTTATAGCGGGACTGCGACAGGCATACTGACACTGGGTTGAAACTGACTAACTGCCACTGGCATCCCCAGTGACACGAATACAGTGATCAGAGCTAATAAAAAGCACTGACACTGTACTGACACTGGGCAGGAAGGGGTTAACATCTGGGGTGATCAAAGGGCTGTGTGTATTTCACATTGTGTGTGGTTTTACAGAGAAATACAAAAGCAGCATGGCCATACTGACGGGAGAGAACTGTGTTTTTCATACAGGTCTCTCTCCTGTCAGCTTTCTCCGGCGATCACAGGTCTCTCCCGTCAGCTTTCTCAGACGATCAGAGTGCCGGCAGGAAACCGCCAGCCAGGACCCGGTGATTTAAATCTCTAGCCACCAATGGCGGCAAGGGTAATGTGGCACGCTCCCCACCCTCCCAACCTGGAAATTCAAATCATGTATTTATACATGTGATTTTCCACAGCCCTGCAGCAGTACTTCTACTATAGAGTGGCGGGCAAGCGGTTAATTTGAATGCAAAACACACACAAAATAAGAAACTCAATTTTCTGGTAAAGATTATGTTACGCCGATTAAATAGATACCAAACATGTCACTGTTTAAAAATGTGATCCCAAGGCCCTTTATTAATATGGTCCCATAGCAGGCCCCTTTCCTATCATCTTGGGGCCCTTCCATGGTGGTGGAAGGCCAGGCCTCATTCTCACCCCAGAGATAGAGACTATACGTTCTACTCTCCAGCACATGCAACGTATTCTAGATTAGACTATATATTGGTAGAGCATAGACTTATGGAGTCAGTGGTTAAAACAGATATAGACGTTACAACTATATGGGACCATGCTCTTGTCACAATGAAACTATCTTGGGGGAAGAGAACAGGACAAGGAAAATATGTGAAAACTAAATGAGACACTCCTTCAGGATCAAGAGACGTAATTAAGAATAAAATAAAAAAGAGATCGAACAATATTTTGAAAGAAATGAGACTGAAGGAATCTCAATTGGCACAGTATGGGAAGCAGATAAGGCATACATCAGGGAATTTTGATAAGGAAAAAAGAACGGCAAAAGAAAATTAGTACGCTCCTAAGGGAATTATACGAACTAGAACAGCTACATAAAAAGAACAAAAGAGATACAGCAGAATATAATAAATAAGAGGAATTATGTAATTTAATGGAGGAAGAAACGAGGAGAACATTTAATATGATGGCAAGAGAGAGAGATCAGTGGGGGGATAAACCTGGTAAATATCCAATGAGAGCATTGAGAAATAAGAAATCAAGGAATTATAATTGAGAAGATCAAAAGGTGATGATGGGGAACTGGTCTACCCAACCACCGATATTGCTAATGTATTTAAAACATATATTAAATTATATGAGGTTAAACTGAAACAGTCAAAAGAGGGGGAAGAAGTAGGAACTAGAAGGAGACAGATATATTTGAAAGAGGCAGGATTACCGAGAGTGGAAAAGGAACGAATAATCTGTCTAGAAAAACAGATAACGCAGGAGGAAATTCAGGCAGCTTTAACACCTTCCCGCCTGGCCTATAGCAGATTGAAGGCCGGGCGGGACACTCCTCATTGTGACTTGACGTCATATGATGTCCTATCAAAACAAGCCACTCATGGGACACAGCCGATGACATATTACACCGACCAGTGTCATGTGACTACTGTGACCAATCACAGCAGATCACATGTCAATTGTATACAATGGATGGCTTCCTGTCATGCCACACAGTGTGCTGGAAAATTAAATAATAAAAAGAAAAAATGTAAGAAAGATAAAAAAATTGAAATTCAATGATTATTTTGACCAAAAATTTTTTTGAAGAAATGTTATTTATTTGCAAAATTTTATAACAGAAACGAAGTGCGTTTTTTTCCAAAAGTTTCAGGTGTTTTTTGTTTTATCAAAAAATAAAAAAAAAAAACTCAGTGGTGATTAAATACCACCAAAAGAAAGCTCTACTTGCGTGAAAAAAAAAAATTATAAAAATTTCATATGGGCACAATGTTGTATGACTGCGCAACTGTCAAAGTGCAACAGTGCTGAAAGCTGAATATTGGCCTGGGCAGGAAGGGGGTAAAAGTGCACAGTATTGAAGTGGTTAAAGAGTACAGTGAAGGGGAAGAGCCCAGGGCCAGATGGGTATACGGTGAGATATTATAAAAAAAATTAAAGAACAATTAGTCCCTAAGATGAATTCATACATGAATGCATTAGAAGAGGGGATGGAAATGAGGGAGGAGTCATTGCAAGCTTATATTACAATCATTAAGAAAGAAGGAAAAGACTAGTTATATGTGCTAGTTATAGGCTCATCTCGCTGTTAAATACAGATACCAAATTATATGCAAAGGTCCTTGCAAATGGGTTGAAAGACCTAATGCCGGACTGGACTCACCTAGATCAGGTGGGGTTTGTCCCCGGGAGGGAGAGAAGAGATAACGGGCTGAGATACTTATTCCACATATAAAAAAGTAGGACGGCAAAATCCCCCGTCCTGATACTATCCGTAGACGCAGAGAAAGCTTTCGATAGGGTGGACTGGGACTTTATGTTAGACACGTTGGAAGCTTTGGAAATTGGTCCCAAAATGAGAGAGTGGATAGGAAAGCCATATAGCCAACCCTCAGCAGCAGTAAAGGTCAACGGTTTCGTTGTCAGGGTTTTTAGGATGCATAAATGGGACAAGACAAGGGTGCCCACTCTCACCATTGCTATTTGTTTGGTCTCTGGAACCTCTTAGCAACAATAAGGAATAGTATAGATGTGAAGGGGATACAGATAGGGGAAATAGAACATAAAGTGGCAGCGTATGCTGATGATATGCTTTTCTATGTGGTCAATCCTAGGTTGACATTACCTTATTTGATGTAAATAATGAAATACTATGGAGAGCGGTCAAATTTAAAAATTAACCCGGTAAAATCAGAGATTGTAAAGGTCAGTTTTTCGATAACAGAAAAAAAAGCCTTGTATAGAGAATTCCCGTTCCTATGGAGGGAAAAAGAACTAAAAATACTTAGAAATAAAATGGACTTCCTCCGCAAAGAACTTATATAAAATAAATTATATCCCACTAATAAATGAGATTAGGCAGGAATTGAGATTAGCAGCTGGACCCAGATCTTGGAAAGGACAAATAAACTTGTTAAAAATGGTAATTGTCCTGAAAATATTATATAAATTACATGTTACCTATACAGCATCCAGGAACCTATTTCAATGTAATTAAAAAACCGACACTGAGGTTTATCTGGAAAAATAAAAGACCGAGAATAAATTATGAAATATTATGTAGAGAGAAGGAGAATGGGAGGGTTAAATGTGCCTGACTTTAGAAGATACTAGTACTACTGTCGCGTAATTTTGACTGGACGCATAATGCACCAAGGAAAAGTTGGGCGAATATAGAAAATACATTAGGTGGGACACAGTTGAATAGGCTGGTGTGGTTGCTGCACCAGCACCTTAAATTGGCTGAGAGCACGAACACTTACACAAGAAATGTAATTAGGGTTTGGGATATAATTCACAAACAGAAGGGATGGGAGTTTAATTATATACTAATGCCGTTGGCTGCCTCAGATTTTCTTCCCACCAGTGAAAGAAAATATCTCAGGGAAATGGATAAGAAAACAGGATGTACAGTTAAAAGATAAAATGGAGGAAGAAGAAATATGCTCCTTTCAGGAGATAAAAAATAAGAATCTGTTTTCTAGGCTAGATGAGTGGCGATATTTTCAATTAAGACACTTTGTTGCAATGCGCCCCAAGGACAGTGGTGGACTTTAATCCATTTGAACAATTAATAGAAGTGAGATAGGGAAACATGGTACTTCTCGAATATATAAAATCTCTTACCATACGTTCAGAAACTTACCCCCCCCCCCCCGTATATGGTAAAATGGGAAAGGGAGTTGGGAATAGCACTAAATGAGCAGCAGAGAAAGAAAATATATAGACTGGCACAGGGGGTTGTAGATATGAAAGTAGTGGAAATGAATTATAAATGTTTAGCTAGGTGGTATATCATACCGAGTGTGGCACATAAGCAACAAGTAGATATATCACTCATGTGTTGGAGGGGATGTAAGAGTGAGGGCACCAATTTGGTGGGAATGTTCTAAAATACAGAAATATACCAAATACAGGAGATTATGGAGACTAGTGTCCAGAAAGACCCAGACATATGTTTGTTTATTTCACAAACACAGTAGAAAAATAAAAACTTGGTGATATTTCATCTTATAAAAACGCAGCAAAAGGGACTTATTCCAAAATTCTGGCAGAAACCAGAAGTACCGAAAATAAAAAAAAACTGGATATGTAGGGTAGATTATGTGTATACGATGGAGGAACTCCGCCATTTGGAGGAGGATAAAATGGAGAGATTTCGGGAAAAGTGGAAAAAATGGGATATGTATAGAAAATCATAACAGAAGAGATGGAGGAGGAAATTGAGAAATTAAAGAAAGATAGGTGGATTAGGAAGAAGGAAAAAGGGAGTCCTGTCAGTAAACTAGAAATAAAGAGGAACAGCAAGCTAGGGAAAGGAGAAAGATAGGGTGTAGAGTGGGTGGGACTGGTAAGGAAAGGGATGGGGGTGGGACCTGGGAAGGAATTGTTTAAATGAAATTGTCTTTTGTAGATGAATATGATAATTTATGGATGTTAATTTGAAATAGTGGGCGGAGAAGATCCTCCGCTAGCAGTCACATCAGAACAGGATATCAGAACTCACCATTTGTATTGAACTCACCATGTATTTGGGGTTTCCAAGTAATTTTCTAGCAAAAAAATACTGATTTTTACATGGAGAGAAGTGTCAGGTCTTCAAGTAGTTTGAAAAAAAAAAAAAAAAAATCCTAGCAAAATGTTTTGTTTTAGATAGGTTTAGAAAACCTCTGGTCAGTTTATTGGACTCTAACTCCATTCCAAAGATTTCTCTTTGGAAGTGGAATACAGTCAAAGAAAGTTTCCAACAGCAACACAAAGCATAAAATTTGATAAAGGTCTGACCGTTCTTCCTTTTAATCAAAACTAAGTTTTGACAAGAAAGGGGAACCAAAAGTTCTATACTTACAAATTCTCCTCCGCTCCCTGGGACCAAAACATTCATCTCTGAAGATTTGGCACTGATAATCTCACAATGAAGGCTATCCTTGCTTAGGTAAACATGGCAACCATCGGTCTTGTTGATAGATATTGTTGGCACTTTACCTAGAACCTATAGGAAGAATTAACATAAATAGGTATAAGAAACCGCTTACATTAGTTTATAAAATTAAAAGAAAAAAAACTCAAATGGATTGTGCATTTGCACAATAATAAAATAGTCCAACAAGCAATTCTCCTCTGAATGGAAAACACACTTCACTTTTTTTTCCTCCTCTAAACTAAAAGTATTAACAGTTATTAAAAATGTTGCCCAGAGTTTAAAGTGCACACGTATTGTGAAATGTGTACGCTACAGCTAGAGTAGTCCTCGAAAGAGAACTTTAACATCAACATCCTGTTAGCTTTGTTTAGGGTTCTGTACGCTTTATGCTCTGGCCTTGTCCATTAACTGACTTGTACAGCCCCACTTACATCCCTGTCTGTTCCATTTAAAATGTTAAATAAAAAAAAAAAAAAAAAAAAAATAAAAACAAAAAAAAAGTACTCAGTTTGACTTGAGGATGCCTAAAATCAGACATTTGCTGGAGGCAGAGTGGTATTAGTACCGAGAAATAGCAAAAACATCAAAAGAAATGAAATGTACAAAAAAGGGACCAGCTTCTCAAAGGGAGCTCAGGCAAATGGTCTGTTAAGCTTAAAGGATCTTTACAACTGTAGATTATGTTACATACATATACTACTAATCCACCCTGAAAGCATGGACTACAAAATGGTTCATTGCAACCTGTTTAATGCTTTACACAACAACTTCCATGGCCCAAAGAAGACTATTACATTTGCTCTCTTTTTTCAGTATGTCATTTCTTTAAAAAAATTATAATAAATAAAAACACACGTGTAAATAAAGTGTAGCGCTAAAACGAAAATTAGAATTGAATCCAACGTATTGAAACCACTACATACAAAATGTGTATATAACACAAACATGTGAATGTAGCGAACAAATATAGTCCATTCAGTGAAACTCTGTGCATCAGTGGTACTATGGAACACAGCAAAAAAGTGTGCAATTCCACAGTGTCTGGGTATCCAGTGACTACTCCACCACCACTATGCACTCACCAGAATGCTTCTTCTGGTAAATGTAGCAATGATCGAAGATCAAGAATTCACTCTCCAGAATCCATAGGACAAATTACCTCCTAGGGAAAAAGCGCACTCATATTTCCTGCCATAAGAAGGCAAAGCGGACTGGCATTGGCTCTGGACAAAAGGGGGTCGCAGGAAGACGCTTTTTCATGCCATTCCATGGGGCTGGATCTCCTCTTTTGTCCAAAGCCAAAACCAGTCCACATGTGCGATCAAGTTTGCAATTACTTTTTTTGCTTGAAAACTGGTCATTTCCTGCACCTTAAAGTGTTTAGAGAGGATCATGGCTCTTGGATGACAATGTTTTTCAGCACAATACTTTTCCTCTTTATCTTCTCACATATCTACAATCTTTGCCTTCTTATGGCAGGAAATATGAGTGAGTTTTTTTTCCTAGGAGGTTATTTGTTCTATGGATTCTGGAGAGTGAATTATTGATCTTCAATCACTGCTACATTACCAGTAGCATTCTGGTGAGTGCGTAGTGGTGGGTCACTGGATCCCCAGACACTGTGTGGAATTGAACACTTTTTTTGCTGTGTTCCATAGTACCACTGATACACAGATTTTCACTGAATGGACTAGATTTGTTCGCTACATTCACTTCTGTGTTATTTACACATTTTTTTGCACTGATTTGCATATACATTTTTTGTGTTGTGGTTTTTCAATATGTTGGACTCAATTCTAATTTTCGTTTTAGCGCTGCACTTACACGTTATTTTGGAATTGATTGTCACTGTCTCTTGTGCCAGATGCTTTTGGTTTACTTAGCGTTCTCCATTTACTATTTTGATCTTAAATAAAAACACACTACACACACGCCATCCTTACCTGCACTTTAACATCACGTGAGTTGATTACTTCCACAATGCCCACAGCGTCTTCAAACACTAAGCCAAGCTTCTTGCAGTTATCTGTTCAGAGAACAAAGATTGACACCATCAAAATAAATGGGCTGAGAATGCAAAAAAAACAAAAAACAAAAACACACCACACACATCAATAACACACACACACCCATAATAGGTCCTGTACCATTTTATTCATGTACAGTACAATGCAGAGCCTATGTATCTGGGACTGTGGCGCTCTGCAGTGCACTGTACAAGTGCTTTGGGGCACAATTACATTTGTTAAGGTAGCTTGCATCATGAGCATTCTGGTGTGAATAAGCCATCTAAATCTAAACCGAGGCAAGTGATTCTATTTGTGAATGCACAATTCTCTCCCTAACCCTGGCAGTTACAATGCAAAGTGACTAATTGGTGCTCTGTTAGGAAGAACGTTTTCACAAGATGTTGGTCTGTGCCAAGTGCCCTGACTCTCAATGTTCTAGTATTCCCTCCAAGAAAAACTTGACTGCTGCATCTGACACCAGAATTAGCCTCACACACAAAAGGTATTACCAAATATGGCTACACCCTTACTAGATCCACTACAGAAATCCAAAACTGGTTTCAAAAGCTGGACTTCAGTGCTTACCTACAGTGATGGAATTGATCTTGCCCTTTACTTGCAGGGTGCTGTTTACACACTTGTAGATGTAAACCACTTGTTTCAGTTCAGTGTCACCGATTACCAGGCTGGAGGCATTCTCCTGAAATTCCTGTTCAAATAAACTTAATGTCAGGCATTTGTTTTCCCCATTTACAAGATATACCCTGCAACTTCCACCTCATGATAAATATGTATGGGGTTTAAAGTATTTCTGACACGCTAGAATTAAAAAGAGAAATTACTCACTGAAAAGAAAAACATTTTTGTACTCACTGTAAAATTCTTTTCTTGAGTCTTAAACTTAGGCACACAAAGTCCCACTATTGGGTTATACTGCCGCCTACAGGATAATTGCAGACTGAAAAAACTGAAGACTACATATTTTGTAATGTCCACGGAGAGACACAAAAGGTCTTTCACTTTCAGAGCTGAAGAGATGTCCATCTTCCCTTGGACAGAAAAAAAAAAAACTGAGACACACTAGTAGAAGAAGGGGTTATTATCATGGGCTGGGCTACTTTTTTTGTATGCCGATGTCCAACGATATAATCCAAAGATGAAAGAACTCCTCTGTCTCTCAATGGACAAGAAAGAAAGAACCTGTCTACATAAAGAGGGAATGCAGCATCAATTCACACGGACTCTACTGCCAGTTTTAATTTCAGCACAATATAGCACACAGGTACATAGACGTTTGCATACTCATATCTACAGCAGGTGCGACTTTAACCATTTGCCCTCCAGAGGATTTACCCCCCTTCCTGACCAGGCGTCATGCAACGCTGCACCCAAATGAAATTTAAGTCTTTTTCTCCCACGAATAGAGCTTTCTTTCAGTGGTATTTGAGAGATATATATATATTTTTTTTATTGTTTTTTTTTTTATTTTTACTTTTTACTATTAAACATGTCCAGTAAACAAATTTAAAAAATAGTTTTGTCATAAATTTAGGCCAAAATGTATTCTGCTACATGTCTTTGCTAAAAAGAAAAAAAAAAAAAAAACCTATACGTGTAAATTAATTGGTTTACGTGAAAGTTCTAGTGTCTACAAATGGTTATATATACTGTTTTTTGTTTGTTTTTTTTGTTTTACTAGCGACTTATAGCAGGACTGCGGCGGGACTTGGTGTCACTGACATCCCCAGTGACACCAATACAGTGATCAGTGCTAATAAAAAGCACTGACACTGTACTAATAACATTAACACTGGGCAGGAAGGGGTTAACATGTGGGGCGATCAAAGGGTTAACTGTGTGCTGTTTTACTATAAGCTGTGTGTGCTTTCAACTGTAAGCACACTCATTTGTATGGCTCTGCTATGCAGAGCCATACAAAAGCAGTGTGCAGGAGCTGACAGGGGAGAGCATTTACATACAGTTCTCTCCCCCCATCGGTAATGCTTGGTGATCACCGGGTGCCAGCAAAAAAATCACAGGCTAGAACTCTGTGATTGACAGCCGAGGCCATGAATAGCAGTGCGGGTAGGGCACGTGCCCCCTACCCGGAGATGCAAAATTACATTACAGGTGTACCTCGGTTTACGTAATTTTCGGTTTACGAATGAAAATCCAATGAAAATAATGCATTGGTTTACGAATTTTTTTCGCAATACGAAGTGTATGTTGGTGCCGATTTTTAAATGCAATTGCCAGCTTTTTTCTTCACTATAGCTCACAGAATTAGCAGTCACTTTCCCCCGGTGTTAAAGGAAACTGTTTCTTTTAAGAAACTAAAAGAAAACATGGTTTCTTTTAACTTGGGGAAATAAACTAAAAATGGAAACTCTTTTAGTTGGGGGGAATTGACAGCTGAATCTCTGAGATATTATAGAAGAAAAAAAAAAAACCGGTAATTACATTTAGAAACCGGCATCATAATAAATAAAACAATATATCATGGGGTCCCCTCTCCATTCATACCAAGCCCTCCGGGTCCGGTATGGTTTTTGAGGAGAACCCCCATGCCAAAATGTAAGAAAAAAAAATTAAAAAGGGCGTGGGTGTCTTCCCTCCCAGATCCATACTAGACACTTATCTGAGCATGCCCCCCCTGCCCCAAAGCATCCCCCCGAACCATATCAGGCCACATGCTTTCAACATGGGGGGGGGGGGGCTCCCCCCCAAAGCGCCTTGGGGACAAGGGTCTCTTCCCCACAACCTGGCCTGTGATTGGGGGGTCTGCAGGCAGGAAGCTTATCGGAAACTGGAAGCCCCCCCTTTCACAAGGGGGCCACCAGATCCCGACCCCCCCCCCCCAATGTAAATGAGTAAGGGGTACATGGTCCCGCTACTCAATCACAAAAAGTGTAGCGTGAAAAAAAAAAGAGACAGGACACGGTCTTTGACAAGTCCTTTATTAAAAGAAAAAAAAAAAAAAAAGAATGTCCCCCGCAGTAGATCCAGCGTCAATCACGATGTCCGCTGCCGCCCCGAAAGAAAGTATTAAAAAAAAAACAAAACAAAAACACTCCCGACGCTGGCTCCTGGCCGTCTGCCCGCTCTGCTGGCTTGACAGTTCTTAAATATGTAAGGGACGGGGCCACCCAGTAAACATCACGTGTGTGGCCCCACCTCCTTGTGGCATCATCAACCGGGGCATGCTTGGTCAATGATGTCAGTGGAGCAGGTAGACAGCTGGGAGCCAGCAGCAGGAGTGGAGCCCCCCTGCCCCAAAGCACCCCCCCCCATGTTGAAGGCATGTGGCCTGGTATGGTTCAGGGGGGGTGTGTGTGCTTTGGGGGCAAGGGGGCTCCGCTCCCAACGCTGGCTCCTGGCCGTCTGCCTCACTCATCTCCTCCCCCCCCCCCTTTTTCTGACCTGCCAGGCTTCATGCTCGGATAAGGGTCTTTCTTTTGTAATTGCCGGCAATTCTCTTTTACATTCAGCTGTCAGCTGAAACAATAACACATGGTTGTCACTACTAAAATACCGCATGACTTGATAAAATAACTTGTGTGGTATTTTAGTAGCGTTTACTTTTTTCTGACCTCCGAAACGGATTAATTGGTTTTCAATGAATTCCTATGGGAAATGACGTTTTGGTTTACAAATTTTTCTCTATACGAATGAAAACCGAAAACCGAGATTGAATATATATATATATATATATATATATATATATTTATTTATATTACACATATATACATACACACAAATATATATACACGCACACACACGTGATTTTGCGCACCCCTGCAGCGGTATATCTGCTATAGGCCAACGGGAAAGCAGTTAAGCAAGATTGTCATCAACAAATTCACAGAACGGTTATTTACAAATAAGCATTGGCTACATCACCATCCCTCCGTTTTAATCTTTCATTAGTAACAAATAAAAACATTTTACTCACCACTCTCCATTTCTTGCCCTCCAGCTCCAACAGGGCAGGCTCTTTCTTAGGCGATGGCTTTGCTGCAGGGGATGCAACATGTGATGGTTTCGGGCTTGTGAATGGTTTAGGTCCACTTCTGACTGGACCACTGTGAGCTTTCAGTGCTGGATTTTTTTATGAGTTTTCATATCATCAGACACATGCTTTAGGCCTAAATAACACAAAAGCACAACAAACAATTAGAGTTTGTTATTGGCTACAACAGTCCTTATACAGGTGCTGGAAGAGGATGCACTATGCCTTCGGTCTCACCACTCTTAAGAGGGAAGAGATTAGAGATTTTAAATATTATAAGGTCTCCAAGCTTAGACAGCTGACTATCAAAAAGCAGAACCCCCGTTCTGATATTCCTGACATTACTGGAGGATTCTCAACAAGAAGCACTGTATTCAAATTGTATTAGCAACGTCTTATTGCAGAACCCTTTGCCGGATAAAACCTAGAAGTATGCAAATCAGGAGATAGGACTTTCATTATCTGTATGTTAGTTCCAGGTCACACTCAAAAGTATTGCAGCCAGAAAGGGAGGCCAATCACATTTTCAGACGTAATCAGCCTACATATTTCTCTTGCCCTATTCAAATTAAATCAAGCAGTTCTTCTTGCTTTTCCACCTAACATTACCTGCACATACAGGCAACATTATGTGCTTTATTGCTTCCTCTTTCATGTTAGTGTTCTCTAGCAATCACTAGATAGCAGCTTTGAAAACTTTAAAAAGGTAGTCAAATTTCAACTATAGGTCTGAATAGAATTGTATCATTCATTCCTTTGCCGATTGGCTGCAACTATATTTTTCTACAATCTATTACTTATATTAAAAAAAAAAAAAAAAAAAAAAAAAAAACAAAAAAAAAAAAAACAATCCCAGCCAATGAGGAAAGGAGGTGTGAAAGAAGGGAAAGCTTAGAACAACCTCTATGCACAAAACCCGTTAGATGGGACAGCAAGAGGAATCCAATGGGTCACTTAAAGCTAGGGCAAAAAGACACTGGGCTCAATTCACAAAGTGGTATCTATCGCTTTAAGAACAGCAGTAAAATACCTCTTAGTGTTTTTCAAACTTTTGCAAATTCACTAAAAAAACTGCATGAGCTATTTTATGAACTGATGCAGTATTTTAGTGTATGCTAACTGTATTATGCCAGCTGTAGCCGGTTCCCTTAACAACCAATACTCATCTGATATCAACAAAGAATTGCCAGCAACAAAAGAATGTCCAGCATTAAAAAAAAAAAAAGGGGGGCGTCTGTCCCCCCTTCACATCCTAAATGCACAACAGACCCTCATCCAAGCATGCAGTCAAGCAGGCCCTGAAAGGGGGGGTTGGTCACATGAGGGATGAGATTGCATCCCTGCCTCCTGAACCATACCAGGCAACATAGCCTCAACGTGAGGTGGAACCCTGCAGACAGCAGCCAAGTCATGGTCACCAAAGACGCAGCAGCCGCCTGCTCATTAACTACCATATTTGCTGGCTGTTAATTACACTGGTGGCCGCCAGCTAATTTACCACTTCCCGTCCAGCCCATTTATATAAACGGCCGGACAGTGGCAGTGCAGGGTCGGGTGGCCATTTATAAACGGCCTCCCTGCACCCTGCTTGTGCGTGCTCCCTGGGAGCGCGCAGCACCGCGATCCGGTACCCACTGTGTCCGGAGGACACAGTGGAACACCGATCGTTGGACGGGACCTCTGTGCAAGGTCCTGATCATGTGATCACCGATTGGCCAATCAGTGATCACATGCAGAATAGTAAGCAAGATGTCACTTCTGACATCATTGCTTACTACATGTGAAATCTGTGAACGATCACAGAGGTCACATGGTACAAAGCTATTCACAACAGCCTTGTACCATATGACAAGCTGTGACCAATCACAGCTCACACAGTAGTTCTTAATGGCTGCAAGAATGCAGCAAGAGGGGAGAAATTATGAAATTATTGCTTTTACATCCTATATGGGTGTAAAAGCAATCAGTGTAAAAAAAAACAAAAAAAACAAAAAAAACCACAAAATTCTTCATCACCCCCCACAAGTAGTACCATAGTGACACTGTACTGCTAGGGTGACAGTATGTAAAAAAAAAAAGTTTAAAAATTATAATTTTTGGTTATAAACTAATTTGTTTTTTTACTAAAAAGATAACGGAATAAATTTTGGCCAAGATTTATGATGAAATACTATTTGCAAAATTTTATAAGAAAAACACTTTTCAAAATTATTGGACTTTTTCATTTACATAGCAAAAAATAAAAATCCTAGTGGTGAAGAAATACCGCCAAAATAAAGCTTTGTCGGTCTCAAAAAAAATGCAAAAAAAATCATATGTGTACAGTGTTGCATGACCGCGCAAAATTGTCATTCAAAGTGATAGCACTGAAAGCTGAAAATTGGCCTGGACAGGAAGGGGGTAAATGTGTCTGGACTTGAAGTGGTTAACAAGCTTTTTACTGGTTGTTGCAGACACCAGCGGGTGCTGGCTCCTTAAAAACCAGCGCTAATTGAATATAATCCTTGAACACGTGGCTAGACAATGATTTATTCAAACGAATTTATGTAGTTTGGTGAATTGACTTTTGAGTCAGTTTATGCGGTATTTACTGTGCGTTTTTTTTACTAGTGTGGTAAATATCACATAAACTGACAGCAAATTGACATTTTGAAGATCGCATGAGATAACTGGAAACAAAACATGTCACATGATCTCATGCGATATTCTTCAGTGAACTGAGCCCCTCGTGAGACAGCTGGATTATGAAAAAAAATGCCCAACCGTTTAAATGTCTACGCCAGCTATACACTGTTAAATTTTCATACAAAATTCTCTATGTGGCAAGCAGCACTCATCAAAAAGCACACAAGACCTTTGTTCTCTCATGCAAACTAAAAGGTGACATTAAAACACAATTAAGCTTCTTTACTAGATACTAATCTGAAGATTCAACTTGTTCTCTCCTTCCATATTTGTATTTAGGATTCATTCATTTAAATAATTTATAGTAGTGGTACATACAATGTCATAATTGTTTTTGAAAAGTACATACACGGAAAAGGTTCATAAGTTTTGCATCTCCTATAGTACTGTCTATAGGTACAATACAGAATATAAACAAAGTGATGAAAAGGTTTCAGGCGGTACATATTGTGCTTTTTATCCTTTGTTGTAGTACCAGTCGGAGTAGCATTATTGTTGGTGGGTTTATGAGAGGTGAGGGAATGGGGGATGGCAATGGTAAGTAACCAATAGATCATAAGTAAAGGAGGGCTGTATCGCGGCCTGAGGGGAGTTAATGTGAAATCCAGGGTTGGCAAGTGGCTAGATATTAACCACTTGAGATCCGGAAGGTTTTACCCCCATCATGATCAGGCCATTTTGCGATTTAGCACTGAGCTACTTTAACTGGTAACATGCAACACTGTACCCAAATGAAATTTAAATCTTTGTTTTCATACAAATAGAGCTTTCTTTTGGTGGTATTTGATCACCACTGGGTCTATTAAACTATGTTACTTTCTGCTATAAAACATATCCAATTAAAAAAAAAAAAAAAAAAAAGAAAAACAAACTAATTTCTTCATTAAATTTAGGCCAAAATTTATTCTGCTACATGTCTTTGTTAAAAAAAAAAAAAAAAAAAAATTCCCAATAAGTGTATATTGATTGATTTGTGTGAAGGTTATTGCATCTACAAGCTATGGTATGCATACACTGGAATGTTTATTTTTTCTATATACTAGTAATAGCACTGATCAGTGACCTATAGTGGGACTGTGATAGTGTGGTAGGCAATCTGACACTAAAGCCGACTGGGAGGTACTCTGACACTAACCTCACCAGGGACACCAATGCAGTGACCAGTAATGACACTAGCTAGAAAGGGGCTATCATCGAGGGAATTAAGGAGTGTGTGCCTAACAAGTGTTAATGTGTGTAATATGTGCTGCTTTTTACTACATATCGGTTTGTTCCTTCTCCCTGGCTATCGGGCAGGTCTGTTGGATACAAAAGAAAAAGTACTAGTTTGTTTGCATTCTCAGCAACACAAGTGGGAGTAGCCAAGTATATACTGGGCAATTCTAGAAGGTACCACTGTGTAGTTGGTCTCCACTGGTAATTACATAAGCATGAGGCTGCTTCCCTCTATTTAGGTCCATTCATCCTACTCCAAGTTCACACGTGTCTCTTACCCATTTCTGGGTGTATGAGAGAGGTTGCTGTGTAGCTAGAGTGGAAACAAATTGTAGAGTAAGGAGATCACACCCAATGAGTGGAGGTCTCAGACCTTTGTTAGAACAAGATCAAAGTTGGAGAACCACCTGGTAGGTTTAGGTCATTGGTAAGAAGTGTTTAAATAGCAAGGAAATATTTAGTATACTGTATGTGTCTGAGGCCTCATTCACACAAATGTGATTGCGCCTGCATCTGCTGTTGTGCTGCAAAGCGAAACAATGGAATTCACATTTTCTATGGTGACCATTCACATCAATGCAACATGGTGCTGTCCAATTTTTGAAAAGGTGCGGGTGCTTCTTTTGGCGTAGGAGTGTTTTTTTTTGGACTTTAACAGGAGCGCAAGAAAAATGCACTTACATATACATGTACAAATGTGCCACAAAAAAAAAAAAAAAAATGCAGCAGCATTGTTAGGCTGAGAGACAATTGAATATCCGGTTTTAAAAATAGGAAATCTACATCAGCTTCTTGGAAGTTCTTTACTATCCTAAATCTGACAGGCAAAGCTTGAAGTTTGCGTAAACATTGATTTTTCCCTTCCAGGTATTAAAAAGAGAACTGTAATGTAGAAAAACAACCACATAGCCTTAGATTACCTCTGCAAACTGGAAAGGGTTTGGCCAAGAATTACTCACCCAGGTTCTTTAATTTTTCATTCAAAGCTTGTGCAGACAGAGCCACCAATATCTCAAATTTTGTCTGACTTTTCAGAAATTCGCTGACATTCAATGACTAGCTTGAGATTTGAAGGCTCTGCTGAAGACTTCTCACACAGGTATTTTGCTTTTTGAAAGATTCTTTTCAAACAGCTAAATCTGAGCTAACTTTTCTTACCTTTAGTGATATTCGCTCCCTGATTGAGTTCTGCAAACAGTTGGGATCGACTGATGGAGTCATCACCTGGAGCAGATGTAGGGGCTGGAGGTGGTGGGGGAGGAGGAGGTCCGCCAGGGGGAGGTGGTGGTCCAGCTCTAGGGGCAGCTGGAGCACTTGGTGCAAGTGAAGCACCACCAGCCTTTGGACCCTATGAGAACAACGTACCAATGTAAACATAGTGAAGGGGAGGGGAGACAAGACGTGCAGTAAGTAAAATACGGCTTACTGTTTTTCTCCAGCTTAGGCCTGTTGTATGATGCTCCTTAATATAAGCCTGTAACTCAGTCCAAATGTTTAAGTATGCACGAACCCAGTCTACGTGTTTCTTATCTCTGCAAAGGAACACAAAACGAAGGGATTAGATAAAATGATTACTTCTTTACTGAACCCCTGCAAAGGTAACCCCACAAAAGCTTTACATAGCAATATACAGGACATCTTAAAGAATCTATTTTCGCTACCACCGCTTTGGAAAGATAGTTAAATATACATATAGGGAACGTAACTTAAAATTTCTGAAAAACATGGTAGGGGTAAGCAATCAATACTGCATGTTTACCAACCCACGTCTCTGCTGTAATTCATACTGAATAGTGCAGGTTAGATTATGCCCTACCCTCTTTAAACACTCAGACCGAAGCAATGTCAATGAGTTACAAACACAGAAGAGAAAGGCTGTCCCTAGCTTTTATGAAACAGCAATTCCTGCTTGTATTTCACTGTGCACAGTGCTTGCCTACCATACTTTGTATTTAAAAAAGTCAATGACCAATTCGCATCTTTGCACTTTATTAACTTACACATCCTTGTATTCCTTCAACACTCTGTTGGTGTAAAACGTAGCTGCATCAGTCATTTCCTTCACAAAGGGACCCGGTTTTGGAGCCTATACAAAGAACAAAAAGGGTTGAGATGAACAAGCAAGAGATAAGTTAATTAATTAGCTACTTACAGAGACCACTTACCACAGCTACCCATCCAAGGGCAGGCACACTTTCACTTATTGCAGAGAGGTGATTAAATTGTTTGCTACCTCGGTTCTTCTCTCTAAAGTCCTGAACAGTCTGAATCTGACTGGAAAGTGGAGCGAGTAGAGTAGCAAGATCTTTCTAAAAGGGGCAGGACCAGAATTAAATGTAACAGTTTTTATTAGAAAAAATGAAATGGCACAAAATGTAGGAAAACAAAATTCATAGAAAGATCATTTTATCAAACACTTGCCTCATCTGGCTGCTGAAATTGTGATGCCTTTACTAAAACATCACGCTGCAACTTAATGGCAGCATATAGAAGCTCTGCCTGAAACAAGAGAAAAAAAATTAAGATTACAGTTTAGCCACAACATAAAAAGACAAAATGTCTTTTTGTTCTTTATGTGCCTGTTGGAGAGAATCCCTCCAGCTTTTCATTTGGTTACCCCTGTACTTGGACAGGAAGGTGTGAGCAAAAACAAAAATTCCGTCCACCATCCATAACAGAAAATATTTGGGGGGAGTTTAACTGTAATGGGGATCTAGAATTGTATTAAAAATGTGTTTCTAATTCTGAACTAAAATCATGTTTACTCAGGGGGCTGTCAATTTTGATTGTTACATTCAACAACTATTTTCCCACACTATGGTATTTGTTTTATCTCAGCAGGTGTCCTAGAAAAAGGGCTTGAAAAACTGTACATGAAATACCCACATCAAAAAACACAGAACAAAATGAGAAAGGAACATCACCAATTTGGGTAAACTTTAAATATGTAGGTTTTAAAAAATCCAATATAAACTTCATGCTGATGCCAGTTCCTTTTTCTATAAGGAAATAGCTACATTTTCTAGTTACAAAGTAACCCTAAGCATATAAACTTGCAAAAAATCTATAAGTTGTATACAATTTAAATGGGCTTTCTGTTGTTAAGTAGACCAGTGCTACAATAGACATTGCACATAAAATACTGTATATGGAAGCATGCCAAGAATGTTTAAAGGATAATTGCACTTTTGAGGCACTTATCTTTCAGCCCCAACCCCCTCCGACTGTGAACAGTCCCCTAATAGCATACAATTACCTAACTGTAAGCCCATTTGAAAATTTTGACCTTGCCCTATGCACAGTCATACAAGTGCAAAAATGGAACATACCACAAACATAAATCTGACTTAAGGCAGAACCATAGGCATTATTCAAAAACTATCAAATAAATCATGCATCTGTATACTTTAATCTGTTCTTTTGCAACAAAAAAGGTGATCCTGCCAGTGTCTTCCTCTGACAAGAGTGTAAAGGTGGGGAAAACACATGCTGGCCAAAGATATATGTTAAGGGTGTTAAAGCAAAACCTATCTGTATCCGAGCACCAAAAACTGAAAAATTTCTATTGAATTTTTAATGTTCAAAGCAAAACTCACCAATTCTTCCATATCTCCATGCTTTATTTTGTTGAAAATTCACTATAAGCCTAGGATCACACTAAGGCGGTGCAGGAAAAGCACTAATTCATGCTCGTTTCCTGCACCGCATTCCAATCGCACTACCCTTGCGATCTTCTGTGGGTGTCAATACAAAGGTAACGACACCCCAAAAGTAGTGCGTTTGCCTGCACCAAATCGCATGGTACAAAACAACCATTGCAGTGTGGCTCAAAAAAAAAAAAAAAGTGCACATCTTGGTGCAATTTGAGCCCATTCAGAATGACTGGGTTCAAATCGCACTGTACCGAATTGCAGAGAAATGCAGTGTGGTTCCTGTTCGATTCACATGCAGTGTATGGTGTGAACCAGGGCTACCCCCCCAAGAAAAAAAAACCTAGCCTTTCTAGCCACAGCCACCTTGAGTAAACGCAGATGATTCATGTAGCATTTACTTCATGGAATCCCTTAGCTCAGGCATGCAGGAAGCTTATCTTGAGGCAACCCCACCTCTCCGATGAAAAAAAAATTCCCATGATGACTCCTGAGATGTAGGGCATAGTTTAGGCCTAGGTCAGAAACCAGGAAGTAATGGATGTGTATAAAAATAAAAAAAAAGTTTAAAAACAAGTAATTATCTTCCTGCTTACTTAATTCAATTCCTGTTGTACTTCCCCTGTGTAGGTGATCTACTGTACATTATCTCTTTGCTGCAACAAAAAAATTATTGTACCAGAAATATAGTTTATGTTGATTGAGAAAGTTTAGCTCCAATCTAATAACATGCAGGCTAGAATATATTATACTAGAAGACTGGACGGTTTGTACTTTTGGAGGGGAAGCAGCCATGACATCTCAGGAATGCATGAATCTGGTAACAAAATTAATTTTTGTATTTGAGACCCAGTTCTATGACTTTTTTGAAATGCTCCACAAAGTGGTTTACAAAGCGAGAACAAACGTAAATACGGCACAAACGTTGTATAAATATCACTGCTGCACAAATGTGAACATTTTTAGAGTCGTCAAGAAAGCGTGTAGTCAACAAGTACAATCATCTAAGGAACTCACTTGCTTCTGAACATCTCCGCCAATTTCCTTGCTGAGTTTCAAATAGTCTTCAACAGATACATTGATGAGCGAGTCATAGGCCTGAACAAATTGTGCCACTTCTAACAAAAAGTTTTACAGAAAGTATTATAAAGTGTTCACTAAGCAAATACATACAAATACAATGCTGTTAAAATGCAAAATATACACAGGACTGGGGTTACCTGCAGGGCTTGAGCCGCAGCCACCACCTGCACCGTCTGCGAGAAGCTCCAACTTCCCCACTGCCTTTTCAAGGCGTGCAACTAAATTCTGCATGTCTGCCATGTTTTTACTCCTATAAGAAAGCACAGGAGTGGATTTAAGAGTCACTTCAAGCAATGGTGGTTAAAGAAGTAGTAGGTTTCATTCTAAAATACAGAATTGAAGGGAGACAAAGTATTACACTGCTGCAGTCTGTCTGCGAAGAAAGAAGTGAGAAGGGGGAAGTAGTGTGATCTCCCTACTGCTACTCAGCTTTTTATCACCGGTGCAGGAAGTACCTGAACATGTCTGTGCAGATACCTCCACATTCCACAAATGCACAAACCACCTACTGCCCATGTTATCTCAAAATACAGCCTGTTATAGGAGTTCCATATAATCTGTCTGCAACTGCTTATGCACAATATGTCACGGGGTCCAACAAGCGTTCTTGGGGGATGGGAAGGGGGTGCGCCTGTGGTTACACAACTGTCCAGTCGCTGCTGGTTCCTCCTTGACATAAACTGGCTGTACAGCAGTCACGTAAGCCTCCCCTCTCTCCCATTCCTAAACAGGAACACATGTGTGATCTAGGTATTTGTGCTCAGGGCGGAAACTGAACCAGAAGACAGAGAGGCAGCTTTAAGCTGGCCATAGATGGACTGCAATTCTGTTCGTTCGTCCAGCAGGGACTGCCTGAATTTCGATCTATCATCTATGGCTGGTCCTGCTCAAGAGCAGTAAGTCTCCTGATCGACTGTTAATGAACAGGCTTGCTGGAAAACTTTAGCTTGATCAGTGCTGCAGCTGCTGATCTGTGTATTCTGATGGAGTCCGACAACTAACAGTGGAGAGGAGTCCAGCATCCAACTAGAGTGTGTGGATGGGGGAAATCCATTCAGTATTTTATGTTAAAAATAAAAAATGAGCCATGTATGGCCAACTTTGGTCTCTGTTAAGGTGACCATAGATAATCAAATCTGATTGTACAATCTCCTTTAATCTCGGTTCACACAACTGCGAACTAAATGTTGCGCAACTTACAGTGTGACTTTGCCAGGCGACTTGAGTACTACTTTGAAGCGACTTTGAAGCAACTTTCAGGGAATGCCTGGGTAATCTTCCTGTAATGTCGGATCCAAATCACATCAATATAGATGAGGATCCAACTTGGAGGCAAATTTCATTAAAGTCTATGGGCACAAGTTAGATAGAAGTCGCCTTGAAGTATTACAGAAACTTTTTCTATAGTCGGAGCGACTTTAGTAGTGCTAATTAAGACAGCTCTAATTGACTAACATGGGATTTCACGTCATGTGACTTGGAGTCTCACAAGTGGGATCTCAAATTGCAGCAATGTGAACCAAGCCTTAGAGTTACAAAAGCTATGTAATAGGTGAACCAGTCTAAACAATCCATTCAAATTGTATCAAATCAAGGAGACCTTGCACTACAAAGTTGGTGATAGATCTAAAGGAGATTGCACAATGAGATTTGAAAGCCTATGGTGACCCATACACTAGGTGCACTAAGATGGCAGAACAAAACAAAACTAATGCAGGCCATAGGCGGGTCGAAAACCGGGCGTTTAAAAAAAAAAACGAAATCGGTCATTCAATCTGCCAACATTACCAACAGTGGAAAAAAAAAAAAAAACGGCCGATTTTCGTCCCGTCTACGGCCGGCATTTTTACTTCTGTCCTTTGCAGAGAGCTCAGCTATTATATTTTACATCAAGTCTTGTGGTTGCAACAATGTATCCATTTGTATCCATTTCGGATACAGATGATTTTATTCGGATACAAATAGATACATTGTTGCAACTGCAATACTTTTCATGTAAAATATAATAGCGGACTGGAATTCTTCTTTCTTCTTCTTGCAGGTCAATGCCCATGAGCAGATTTTTTTTATTGGTAAAACGATCGGCCAATTTACCCATCATTGCCGGGACAAATCGGCTGATTTTTTTCCAACTTTATCAATAAAAAAAGTACCAAAACTCAGAAAAAACGGCCGACCAATTAACCCACTAATGGTGCGAAAATCGGCCGATTTTCGACCCGTCTACGGCCTGCATAAGGCCCCTTTCAGATGGGACGGATTCTGTTTTGATTAGAAGAATCAGCTCATAGATCCCTTGCTGATCAGAACAGGGCAGGTGGATGACATATCTGTATGCGCTCAGTTTCTGCAGAGTGGACACAGACAGCGCTTGCTCTACTCGATGGGTGTCTCGGTGTAAATCTTCTCCATTATCCATTTATACCCGACTACCCTTTGGTCCACCTAAACAGAAGAGCACAGAATCCCGTTTTTTTTTTTTTTTTCTTACTGGACCCAGAGGTAGGTGGATGTAAATGGACACAAGCCTGTTTACATCGGCCTGTTCACAGAAATGCATGGACCATCCGATCAGGTCTGCCTTAAGAACTGACAGGCGGACTTGATCAGATCACCAATACTTTAGCTTTGAGTAAATACTGTCAGACTGAAGGGTCAGAGAAGGTCCTCATTTATCCAGGGCATGGTGTAGCAGTAAGTCACGTTCACGTTTTTCCTACTAATCCAAGCAGCTTCCCGAGTACTGATGAGCTTGGGTTAGGCTGCATCTAGAAGGCAGCGATCAGTGCCAAGCTATTAAGCTGCAGGTGAGCCAGTCTATGGTCACATTAGGTCAATGATATCACAAGTAGGGATGAGCTTGGGTTTGGCCTGAACATGGGTTCAGCCCAAACCTGGAAGTAAGCTGTCACTCCTGCCCAATCAGTTGCGTACTGCTGTGGGAAATGTCCTAGCTGCAGCTGATTGGGCAGGAGTGAAGGCTTACTCACATGTTTGGACCACAGCTGAGCTCATCTCTAGAAACCAGCATACCTGCCCCTTTGTGCAGATACAACTGCAGAACAGGGAGTGCCCGCACCTCACTGGCTCAGACCTGATCAGAGGACAAACCCAAGCGGATCCCGATCCCTGAGTACTAATGGGCATCAGAACACATTCACACCTCCAGTCTTATCTTCAGAAAGACAATCAACATCTGCCTTGACACGTTCCATTGTACATGATGGCGGTGACAGGTTGATACAGGACTCTTCAGAGCTGAGGAAGCTACTTGGAGGAGCAGTAAGTTGCTGTGAACATCGCAGAGCAAGTTGAGCTGAACATGTCTAACTACTGGATGTCAGTGTGGGGCTCCCACTCTGTGCTGGGCACCAAGCAGATGACACATGAACCGGTGCCAGTCAGGGGAGCTCAGTGCTGTCTGAAGCAGTAAACACACCCTGTCTGTATCACAGCCCATGTACTGATCTCTAACACCCAAATGTCAGTGCCTGTGAAGTGACACAGTGACAGTATACACAGGTGACAAGTGCCCGACCAAGCACATGACACAGAAAACACACTCTACACCCACACTGTACACTGCCCGGCTATACACCGACATAAAGCACCGGCTGACACTCCTACCCCGCCCTACTCACCTCCGCCACTGCTCACTCTCTGCCCCACTTCCGGCAGACTCCTCCCAGCATTCGCCGCGGGAAATCACTTCCGCGTAAAATAAAGGGGCGTGGTAGAAGCTGGGCGCGGCTACAGCGCTCCTATTTCGATTGGCTCTAGCATTTCTGACACCTCCCAGTAAACGCCACGCGATAACATGACAGACTCGGTAACGTCCATGTTGTGTTCTGGCAAACTTACGTAGTAGCTGTATCAGTCGCTGTGTGGTGGCAAAAACCGATGTATTTGAAGGAGGTTCATTCAGTAGCTCTGCTTCTGACAGACTAGAACTCGATGGCTTGCTACTGACCATAGTCACCACAAAAACAGAAGGCATAACTGCCAAATTAAATATGGTGGCAGCACCCGCGTTATGATTGGTGGATGTGCAGAACTTGAATCGAGCCGTGACGTGTGTGCAGAATAACGTCATCAGCGCTCTCACCTTTCAGACTCTTACCAAAGATGGTCACAGAACGGGCAGAGAGGGAGGGGCGGGGAGAGCTGAGCGAGGGGCGGGGCTAGGAGGCGGCTATGGGGACATGATCAGTTACAGGTGTGGGCAGGTGACGTGGCTGTCCTGGGGAGAGTGGTGGATGTAGAGCAGTTAGAAAGAGCGGTTAAAGGGGAGAACGACTAGGTTGTAGCACAGCAGGAAGTAGATGTTATCAGGGAACCTATGGGAGCGCATTACAATCCCAAGAATGATACTTTGTAGAAAAACTGCATTGTTACCTCATGGAGGAGCAGAACTTCACTCTCTCAATCAACAGGGACTAGTTCTAATCCTTCTGCTGCTAGCCTTAGGAAATACATAGGAAAGTAGATCACATTTACTTGTTTTTAACTGTTTGGTTTGCATTCCTTCAGTTACTTCCGGGTTTCCAGGCCTAGACTAACAATGTCATACATCCCAGGAGGCTTCAGGTAGGGAGGGTTCTCAGCTCACCCAATGCCTGAGCTAAGGACAGATGGATTCCAGGAAGTTTACATCAATTTTTAACCTGTTTACATCCATTTTCATCCATTTACATATTTTTTTACATACTTTACCAATGCGAAAATGGACAGAATGTCCGTTTACATCTGTTTTTTAATTGTTTACATCTACTTACATCCATTTGTCATCCCTTCACATCAGTTTACATCCGTTTTTTGCATGTTACAGGTTTTTTTTTACAGAAGAAAGGATTTTCTTATGTTAAAAAAAAATGTTAACAGGTGCGGACATTAATGGATGTAAACAGATGATAATTGGTTTACATCCGCTAGTCCATAGAAATACATGGGTGTCTGTTTTTCATCCGTAAACAAACAGATGAAAACAGATCAGCTCACATCATTTTTTTTTATCAGTTCACATCAGTTTTTCATCCGTTTACATCCATTTTTAATCTGTTAACATCCATTTTTCATCAGTTTTCATCCATTTTCATCAGTTTTTTTACATACTTTACCAATGCAAAAATGGACTGAATGTCCGTTTTTCATCGATTTACATCCATTTTTTGTCCTTTCACATCTGTTTTCATCCATTTTTTGCTTATTACATTAGGGTTTTCTTCCGTTGAAAACAGATTTTAACTGATGTAAACAGACGATAATCCATTTACATCCGCTAGTCCATAGGTATCACATGGGTATCTGTTTTTCATCCGTAGACAGACAGATGAAAAATGGACATACAGTACGCCCATGTGAAAGGGGCCTATGCGTCCTTTGACAAAAGCGTTACAGTTTTTTTTCATCAGTCACATTTTTTTCCAAGAAAAAACGGATCAGTTTTTCATCAGTTCACATCAGTTTTTCATTAGTTTACATCAGTTATTCATTAGTTTACATAAGTTTACATCCGTTTTTCATCAGTTCACATCAGTTTTTCATTAGTTTACATAAGTTTACATCCGTTTTTCATCAGTTTACATCCGTTTTTTTTACATCTTTTACCAATGCAACAATGGACCGTATGTCCGTTTACATCCGTTTTTTTATCCGTTTTTTGTCCATACCATTTTCTTTTATGGAAGAAAAACAAGATTTTCTTCCATTAAAAAAAACAGATGCAGACATTAACGGATGTAAACAGATAATCATGCGTTTACATCCGCTAGTCCATGGGTGTCCATTTTTCATCTGTAAATGGACAGATGAAAAACTGACATACAGAATGCCTGTGTGAAAGGGGCCTATGGGTCCTTTCAAATGGGCGTTTCATTTTTTTTTTTTCATCAGTTGAGTCACATTTTTTCCAAGAAAAAACGGATCAGTTCACATCAGTTTTTCATCTGTTTTTCATTAGTTTACATCTTTTTTTCATCAGTTTACATCCATTTTTCATCAGTTTACATCTGTTTTTTTACATGCTTTACCAATGCAATAATGGACCGTATGTCCGTTTACATCCGTTTTTCATCTATTCCATTTTCTTTTACGGCAGAAAAAACTGTTTTCTTCCGTTACAAAAAACAGATGTCAACAGATGCAGACATTAGCGGATGTAAACAGATGATCATCTGTTTACATCCGCTAATCCATAGAAATACATGGGTGTCCATTTTTGATCCGTAAATGGAAAGATGAAAAACTGACATACAGAATGCCCCTGTGAAAGGGGCCTAAGGGTCCTTTCACAAGGGCGTTCTGTTTTTTTCTTGTTCCAAGAAAAAACGGATCATCCGTTTTTCACCAGTTTACATCCGTTTTTCATTCGTTTTTTCATAAGTTTACATCCATTTTTTTTACATCCCTTACCACTGCAATAACTGACCGTATGTCCGTTTACATCCTTTTTTTGTCTATTTACATCCATTTTTCGTCCATTCCATTTTCTTTTACGAAAGAAAAACAGGGTTTTCTTCCATTAAAAAGACAGATGTCAACGGATACAGACTTTAACGGATGTAAACAGATGATCATCTGTTTACATTCGCTAGTCCATAGAAATACATGGATGTCCGTTTTTCATCCGTAAACAGACAAATGAAATGCAGACATACAGAACGCCCGTGTGAAAGAGCCCTAAAATCACTGTGAGCACAAGTAACCACACAAGTGTAAAATACCATTCGCCTGGCTGTGGGGTATTGCCAATGAATAAACAAACACCCGTTTACTGGTAAATATGCTTAATCTAGTAATACGGATTATAATAAATGGCAGTTTAAATTGGATTGAACATACAGTAGGCGAGTTTGGACACAGTTTGCTAAACAAGATGAAAACTATACCCAAGTAGAAATGGAAGAAATAAGGTTCTACACTCAGGTCCATAAATATTGGGACATCGACACAATTCTAACATTTTTGGCTCTATACACCACCACAATGGATTTGAAATGAAACGAACAAGATGTGCTTTAACTGCAGACTGTCAGCTTTAATTTGAGAGTATTTACATCCAAATCAGGTAAACGGTGTAGGAATTACAACAGTTTGCATATGTGCCTCCCACTTGTTAAGGGACCAAAAGTAATGGGACAATTGGCTTCTCAGCTGTTCCATGGCCAGGTGTGTGTTATTCCCTCATTATCCCAATTACAATGAGCAAATAAAAGGTCCAGAGTTCATTTTAAGTGTGCTATTTGCATTTGCAATCTGTTGCTGTCAACTCTCAAGATGAGATCCAAAGAGCTGTCACTATCAGTGAAGCAAGCCATCATTAGGCTGAAAAAACAAAACAAACCCATCAGAGAGATAGCAAAAACATTAGGCGGCCAAAACAACTGTTTGGAACATTCTTAAAAAGAAGGAACAAACCGGTGAGCTCAGCAACACCAAAAGACCCGTAAGACCACGGAAAACAACTGTGGTGGATGACCGTAGAATTCTTTCCCTGGTGAAGAAAACACCCTTCACAACAGTTGGCCAGATCAAGAACACTCTCCAGGAGGTAGGTGTATGTGTGTCAAAGTCAACAATCAAGAGAAGACTTCACCAGAGTGAATACAGAGTGTTCACCACAAGATGTAAACCATTGGTGAGCCTCAAAAACAGTTTGGCCAGATTAGAGTTTGCCAAACGACATCTAAAAAAGCCTTCACAGTTCTGGAACAACATCCTATGGACAGATGAGACCAAGATCAACTTGTACCAGAGTGATGGGAAGAGAAGAGTATGGAGAAGGAAAGGAACTGCTCATGATCCTAAGCATACCACCTCATCAGTGAAGCATGGTGGTGGTAGTGTCATGGCGTGGGCATGTATGATGTGACTGCTGACAAAAGCAGCAGGATGAATTCTGAAGTGTTTCGGGCAATATTATCTGCTCATATTCAGCCAAATGCTTCAGAACTCTTTGGACGCCGCTTCACAGTGCAGATGGACAATGACCCAAAGCATACTGCAAAAGCAACCAAAGAGTTTTTAAGGGAAAGAAGTGGAATGTTATGCAATGGCCAAGTCAATCACCTGACCTGAATCCGATTGAGCATGCATTTCACTTGCTGAAGACAAAACTGAAGGGAAAATGCCCCAAGAACAAGCAGGAACTGAAGACAGTTGCAGTAGCGGCCTGGCAGAGCATCACCAGGAATGAAACCCAGTGTCTGGTGATGTCTATGCGTTCTAGACTTCAGGCTGTAATTGACTGCAAAGGATTTGCAACCAAGTATTAAAAAGTGAAAGTTTAAGGTTATTATTCTGTCCCATTACTTTTGGTCCCTTAACAAGTGGGAGGCACATATGCAAACTGTTGTAATTCCTACACTGTTCACCTGATTTGGATGTAAATACCCTCAAATTAAAGCTGACAGTCTGCAGTTAAAGCACATTTTGTTCGTTTCATGTCAAATTCATTGTGGTGGTGTATAGAGCCAAAAATTTTAGAATTGTGTCGATGTCCCAATATTTATGGACCTGACTGTATAATGGCTCAGTCTTTTGCAGTGATGACAAGTATTGAGCTCCCTCTCAACAGATCCAGCGGCACAGTAGTGATCCCTCCAGTTGCACGTTCCTTCACTTTGGGTTCCCCAGGTGACTCTGGTCTATAGTGCAGCATACTGTATCTGTACCCAGGCAGTGGCTTAGTCTCTCTCTCAGGCCACAGGTCACAGCTCTGCATGGACTGACTGATACTGGCAGCAGCTCTGTCCTTCAGGTTCCCTTGGCAGTGTGCTGCCAGACAGTATTTACTCCCCACATCACGTCCTCTCTCTCTGGTGGTGCTGGGCATAGTGGCTCTCTCTAATGGCAACCTCCAGCACACTCCTCTCCTCACCCTATCCCCTGTAACCATGCCTGTGCTCCGAGACCTCTGGGAAATGTAGTCCAACTCTAGGAAATACAGTGTCCTTATGCTGACAAACTTCACTTCCCAGTATCCTTTGTGTCTCTGAATGTTCATGATGGAAAGGTCAGCATCTCCATCTTGTGGCCAAAAGGAGAAATTGCATAACTAATATACTTGCACTATAACCTATGGATGTCCTGCATGGTTCAATGACAGCATGCCTGCAACCAAAGCAAAACCTTTTTGTAATTTTAGATAAAGTAAGGGAAAGTTATGTTTGTCAATTTTTTTGTTATTTGTGTTCCATTAGGGATATTTCCCTTCACTTCCTGTCCCATAGCAAAAACAGATCACAAATTGCTGGTTGTCACCAGAACTGGTGTCCCCATTGGAAGATTTCCTCTCTGTTCCCATTTTCTTTCACTGTGAGTAATAATAAACGGACAAATAGAGAGGATAAATCTCCCTAACGGGGGCACAGATAGCAATAAAAACTCCACTTTATACAAAACTAAAAAAAATGCTTTTAGTTATACAATAAAGTAAAGGAGAAAAGGTTTTTTACCGTTCAGGATAAGTTCACCTTTTAAAAAAATAGCAAATGTACATCTTTTAGCAGGTAAAAAAAAATGTGCTTTTTTTTTGTATTATGAGCCTGTAAAGCATTGCACCTGTGATCAGCAGATCTGTGAAGTAAATAGTTTAATTGGTACAGCTTTGTCCAAGTAAACTATTTAACCTATTCCTGTCCAGCCCATGTCGATAAAACGGCCAGATGGCAGCACTGCCGATGTGGGGGGGCGTTTCTAAATGTCCCCCCGCATTCCATTGCCTGTACGTGCTCCCTGGGAACGCTCGGCACCGCGATCGGTGCCACTGTGTTCGGAGGACAAAGTGGAACACAGATCATTGTATGGGACCTCTGTGCAAGGTCCCAATTCATGTGATCAGTGATTGGCCAATCAGTGATCACATGAATAGTAGTAAACAAGATGTCACTTCCTGACATCAGTGCTTACTACGTGTGAAATCTGTGAATGATCACAGAGGTCACATGGTACAAGGCTATTCACAGCAGCCTTGTACCATGTGACAAGCTGTGGCCAATCACAGCTTGCACAGTATTTCTCATCGGCTGCAGGAATGCAGCCAGAAAGAAGGAGAAATTATTGCTTTTACAGCCTTTATGGGTGTAAAAGCAATGAGTGTAAAAAAGAAAAAAAAAAAATCTTCATCACCCCCCACAAGTAGTACAGTGTCACTATGGTGACGCTGTACTGCTAGGGTGACAGAATGTTAAAAAAAACCCATAAATAATAATATGAAAAAAAATAAAAATAACAACATTTTTTTGAAAAATTATAATTTTTGGTTATAAACTAATTTAGTTTTTTTGGTTTTTTTTTTTACTAAAAAGATAACAATAAATTGTGGCCAAGATTTTTGAAGAAATATTATTTGTTTGCAAAATGTTATAAGAAAAACTGTTTTTTTTCAAAATATTTGGAATTTTTCATTTACATAGAAAAAAAATAAAAATCCCAGTGGTGAATAAATACCAACAAAATAAAGTTTTATCTGTCTAAAAAAAAATGCTAAAAAATGTATATGGGTACAGTGTTGCATGACCGCGCAATTGTCATTCAAAGTGTGATAGCACTGAAAGCTGAAAACTGGCCTGGACAGGAAGGGGGTGAAAGTGTCCGGACTTGAAGTGGTTAAACTTTACTAAAACATGGAGATCAGCCAAGGAAGCTGCCATTTCTTCTGCAGTTGCCATGGTGCTGCACATGTGATCAATTTTGACAGCTTTGATGGCTTGACAGTTCAATTCAGAGCACAAGCAACTGTGACAGCTATTATTCATGGCATGAACTGAATGTCATGTTTTTGGGAAACAGTTAAATTGATTTGGTTTAGTTCCATTTTAAGTAGTTTTACCTCACTTTGGAGAAATTTATTTTCACTTCCTCTTGTATCTCCAGAGCAGAAAGTGAAGGTACATTTCCCCAATGGGACAAAGATGACAAAAATGACAAGGGTTTTCACTCTCAAACTCAAAATCTACGCTCAGTCATGACTATTTATCTCCAACAAAATGTTAACTCAGTCTCTTCACCTATCATTCTCTGGGAAGCTTATAAAGCAGTTGAGTAAGGCCATTGAATACAAATGGCCTCCCGTGGGGGTTATCTAAGAGACCAATGCAGATAGAAACTAGAACTGGAATTAGAATGGATCACCTTAGCTCACAAGGCTAACCCCTCCCTAGCACTCAGCTTCAGCTAGAAAAGATTAGAACTGAAGTGAACCTTTGCCTTTCAGATATAGCTGAAAGACAAATGTTCTGGGCTAAACAGAAGCTGTATATTCATAGCAACGCACCAGGCACCTTGTTGGCCAAACCCTGTGTCATATAACCCCACAATTAAAACCTAAAGCTCTCTACTTTGTAAAGGGTGTAAAGAGAGGAGGAGCCTAACCAAGGCGGTAGGAGAGAGGGCGATGTGAGCGCTCTCCGTAGGATGGCCACTCTCCCTCCCCTAATGTTCCCCGACTAATGCTGCGAAGGCACCCGGCTGAGAACTTACGGGTGAGAGGGGTTCCCAAAGAGAATCTGAGAGGACGGAGCTGCAGGAGTCCGCGACTACGGGGCGGTTGAAACCTCCCTCCCGAGGCTGCTGGGAGTGCAGGTGACGCGGGGCGGCCACATGATTTCCCGCAAGGGAGGTCTGGGAGATAGTGAAGCCGGTTACCTTCCCGATTCAGGGGGAGACGCCGGCTGTCTCACGGATGACACACGTGGACCTGGCTCAGCGTACCGGCTCGGTGAGAGGAGAAGGGGAGAGAACTGACAGATCCCCATAGGAGTTGGAGAAGACGCCAGCTTGGGAGAGAGGAGAGTCTGTGTGCCGGATACCAGTGAGAGAGGTAGACGGAGGAGAAAGAAGGAGACCTGGAGAGAACCCCCCCCCCCCTCCAATTGAGGGGAAGAGGAATGGTGCCAGAACAGAAGGCAGAGATCCCAAAGGTCAATCTCCCAGGAAAAGCAACTAAAAGAGGGTGAGTGAGAGTGGCTGGACTATATATAAAATCTGTTATTATGGACAGTTTATTGATGCAGCAGGAGAAGTATACATAGAGGGGGAACACCAAGTACAGTGAATAAATTAGAACCTCTTCAAAAGACCCATTACAGCATATACCCTAAAGTTTTAAAGAAGAGGGTGTGGACATAGATAGAAAACATGAAGAGTAAAAATATCAAAGGGAGTGGTGCCAAGCATTCCCAATCTGGAACAATTAGAAAATTCACGTCTCAAGGTAATGTGACCCCAGAAAGAACTCAAGGGGTAGGTGAAAAAAGTATAATGGAAAATAGCATGGATAAGAGCGCCAGGTCTCCTGTGGAAATGGATAATAGTAGCCAACAAATAATAGGAGGAATAGATCTAAGAGAAAATGAAGGAGAACTACAAATCCCAAATAAAAAGGAGATGGCAGAAATGTTTGGAAACTTGGAAATATCAATTAAACAGGAGATGGGAATTATTCGGAAAGACTTGGGTCATCTTTTGTCCAGAGTAGAAGAAACAGAAGAAAAAATTAAAAAACATGCTCAAGCCATTCCTGAACTGAGAAATTATATAATGGAGATTAGGCAAGAACAGAAAAAGTTGGGATATAAGTTGGAGATACAAGGTAACATGCATAGGAAAAATAACCTCAGGATAAAGGGAATTCCGGAGCCTGCACAAGAAGAAGATTTAAGAGAGATAATACAAAAAATTCTAATCTCCATCATGGGTAGACCTAGAACTGAGACATTTATATTGGACAATATATATAGGATGGGAAGGTTTCAGCGAGATCGGGTGGAAGAGAGACCGAGAGATGTAATGGTACATTTTAATAAAAAAGGAGAGAGAGAAGAAGTATGGAAGAAGATAAAAGGAAGAGCTAGTATTGAGTATGAAGGAAAAAATTTACAAATTTTTGCCGATTTGAAAACTGAGACATTATGGAGAAAAAGATCATTGAGACCATTAATAGAACAGATGAAAAAACAGAATATACAATATAGATGGAATAGTTCGATGTGTCTAATCGGATGGAAGAATGGAGTTACTGCATACCTGAGATTTCCTGAAGACTTAAGAGACTTTTTTGATAAACTTAATATTCAAAGAATAGAGATTCCAGGTTGGGAGGAAGAAGGAGGAGGGATGTATGCTGAGGGAAAAAAGGAGTGGCAACAAGTTAGAAGAAGGAATAGAGAACGAATAGATAGGGGAACATCAGGGGAAAGGGAGGGTAGGTGAACCGCACAAGGTTAGAGTTCTACCTCAGGATCAAGATCCAAACGTGGCATTAGGCCCACAAAAGGATTAGATGGCAAAAAATAGGCCTAAGGGGAGAGGGGGGAGATGGGGGGGGGGGGGGGGGGGGGGGGTTGGGGGGGGGGGGGGGGGGGTGGATGTTGGGGAGGGGGGAGGAGAAAGGGTGGGGATATGGTAGGGGAGGGAGGGGAGGAAGGTATAGGGGAAAGTTTTTAAGAACACTCTGCATAGGGAGGAGATGTATACAAGAAATATGGAAGATATAAGATTTATAACATACAATGTAAAGGGGTTGAATAGTCCCGGGAAGAGATTTAGCTATTTAAAGAATTACAACTTAGAGAAGCCTCGGTAGTTTTGCTGCAGGAGACGCACTTGGAGATTAAGTCAAATATAAAATTGAACACCAGAAATTATCCAACATGGTACTATGCGGATTCCCCAATTAAGAGAGCTAAAGGGGTGGCAATTGGGTTTGATAAAAACATAAGGTGGGAGATGGAAGAGAGAGAGACAGATCCTGAGGGGAGATTCTTGTTTTTGAGAGGTAGATTGCAAGAAATGGAATGTACAATAGCAAATATCTACTGCCCAAACAAGAAACCAGAGATATACCTGAAAGGGATATTAAGAAAACTGATGGATTTCAAAAAGGGAAGATTGATAGTGGCAGGGGATTTGAATCTAGGCTTGGACCCACAGATGGACACAACCTCTTGTGTGCGGAGAGAGGGAGGTAGGTCTCTGAGGATTTTGAAGAAGGAGATACACGAGTGTCAACTGGTGGACATATGGAGAATAATGCATGGAAAGGAAAGAGACTATACCTTCTTCTCTAATGCACACGAGATTTACTCAAGATTAGATTATATATTGGTAGATCACCAACTTATTGAGAAGGTGGCTAAAGTAGAAATAGAGTCAATGACGCTTTCAGACCACGCCCCGGTTATAATGAAGCTAAGATGGGGGAAAAAGTTAACAAGGGGGGTAGGATGGAGGTTAAATGAGGCTCTTCTACAAGACCAAGAGATTGATAAAAAGATTAGGAAGGAGATGGAAAGATTTTTTCAGGAGAATGAAACAGGTGATGTCTCAGTGGCCACAGTTTGGGAGTCCCATAAGGCATATATTAGAGGTATATTGATTGCGCTAGGGGCAAAAAAGAAAAGGGAGAGGAGTAAGAAATTAATGGGGCTTTTAAAAGAAATATATGACCTAGAACAGATCCATAAAAATAGAACAACAAGTGAGATAAGACAGAAGGTAATAAAAAAGAAGAGAGAACTGGAGATATTAATGGAAGAAGAGAGGAAGAGAGTATTAAATAAAATAGCGGAGAGAGGTATAGATGGGGAGATCGACCAGGAAAATATTTAATGAAAGCCCTAAGGAAAAAGAAAAATAGAAATTATATAGAAAAAAATAAGAAATACCAAGGGAGAAATGGCGCACTCTACTAAAGAGATCGTAAAGGTGTTCAAGGAATATTATAGTAAGTTGTATAATATTAATTCCCAGGAGGCTGTGAATGAAGGTGAAAATGAGAATAGAGAAAAAAGAAGAATATACTTAAAAAATGCAGGACTACCAAAGGTAGATGAAGATCTATTGAAATCCCTGGAAGTAGAAATCACGCAGGAGGAAATAAAAATAGCATTAAAAAACACTAAGGTGGGGAAAAGTCCGGGCCCAGATGGATATACCGCGAGATATTATAAAAAATATAGTGAATTTCTTATACCCAAATTGAAAGACTATATGAATGCCCTAGGTGGAGAAATGGAGAAAATCAGACAGGAATCTCTACAAGCCCATGTAACACTTATACATAAGGAAGGGAAAGACGCTACTCAATGTTCCAGCTATAGACCA